AAAGTTCTGGAATGGTCGAAAAACGACAGGCATGAGGGATGTCTCTGCCAAGCGAAAATGTACGAACACAAGCACATTCACGAAATCAGGTCCTCAATTCGTGATTTTCGACGGGGAGGGTAGTGGGTGCCTCGTCTCGCCAATGTCCTACTTCCCTGAGATACGCATCACACGATGTCAAAGCCATCGCCCGAGACGAAGGACTGCTCATAGCCGCGCCTGGCTCTGCAAAGCGACAACCAGGGACAAATGGTCAAACCCTCCACAGAGCGGCCGAAAGTGGTCCCGGGTCCAGAGTCTGACAAACTCGCCAGGAGCCTCCCCATGTACGGTCGGGCGTGGCGCCCCCCCCTCCACCCACGTGCCGCCCCCCCACCACGACGCGTGAGCCCGCCTGCCTCACAGAGAAAGGACGAGGGCCAGGCAGGGAGAGTGCCCACCGGACCGTCAGGCCGGCCTGGGCGAGAATCGAGCGAAGAGGCCTCCGAATTAAGTGCGCTGGACGTCCGAGCGCAAGCCAGAGCATCGCCAGCGAGAACTCATCCTGCAAACCTCTTGCAGGCAGAACGAGTCCAGCGTGCAGCGAGCGAGAAGCGGGTGCCGCATGCCTCGGTCCCTGGCTTGCCTCCGCGAGCCGCTGGCGTCGCATGCTGGGCCCTCGCCCTGCCCTCGCCCAGCGCAGCGGGCACGACCAACCCAGAGAGACTGCCTTTTGCAGCTGGGCGCCACGGGTGTCTGTCTCCCCCTGCCCCCTCCAGCTGCGCCCACCCTCGTCCTTTTCGTGCGCATGTGCCGTCAGTGCTCCTTGGCTGCGCTCTCTTCCGCGGTTTGCTGCTTCCCTGCAGCTCAAGGTGCTCAAGAAGCCCTCTCCTCCTCCGCCACCTCCACCTCCAACCACCTCCACCCCCACCTCCGCCACCTCTTCGTTCCCTTCCTTCTTGCATCTCCCTGCCTCCGCCTCTTCCTCCGTCCTTTCCCTTCAGCATCCCACCAGTCTCCTCCATCTATTCTCTTCGTCTCCCTCCCCCTCCCCCTCCTCCTCCTCCTCCTCCTCGTTTTCCTTGTCCCCCTCCTCATCCTCTTCCTCGTGCTCCGCCAACGCTGCATGGCCTCCCTCACTTCGGCTTCCGGGCGACCATCAACCACATGGGCGTAAAGCAGCCCGTGTGGCCACCTTGTGCGCATCCGACGCCGCCCGCCTGCAGCATCACCTGGGTGTCTTCTTCCTCCTCCTCCTCCTCCTCCTTTTGCCTCGTCTCCCAAGCCTTTTCCCCATACTCCTCATCCTTCTCCTCCCCCGTCTTCCGCCTCCTTCGGCTCCTTCTCCTCCTTCTCATCCCCGGTCCTCATTCGTGTCATGATTGTCCCCTCTCCCACCCCGCGTGGTCTCATCCACCCTCTCCGTCTCCTCCTCTTCCTGTTCCTCCCGACCTCGCTCCTCCTGCGGAGCCCTGCCCTCCCCGCCCCAAGGATCACCTGGGTGTCCACCGTGCCAGCGGGCACCAGGCGCACCTTCTCGAAGAAGCGGAGGATGATGGGCATCAGGCGGTACATGATGGGGTTGAACTGGAACCGGGGCCACTTCGTCGGATTCCTCGGGGCAGCCCGCACCACGAGAACGACGGGATTCGGCCTTTGATCTCCCTTTTCCTCCTCCCCTTTCTAGCCCCTCCCGCCGCTCTGCTGCTCCTCCTCCCCCTCCTCGTCCTCCCTCGTCCTCCTCCACCTCCTCCTTCGCCTACGCCTCCTCCACCTCCTCCTTCGCCTACGCCTCTTCCTGCTCCTCCTCTTCCTGCTTCTCCTCCTCCTCCTCCTCCTCCTCCTCCTCCTCCTCTTCTCCTCCTCCGATGTTCCTCATCCTGCTTGCGCTCATACCCACTCCTACTCATTGTTGCTCCTCTTGAACTCGCCTCCCCGAAAAATAAGTCTGCCCAGTCGCTTCGCTTGACACGTCTGTCCATCGGGAAACCTGCGCATGTTGATTGACATGCCGTCGTAAACAAGGATATTCAAACTCAAAACATCTTAGAGCTACACTTATCGCGAAGAGCACGTCTTGAGACGCAAGATCGTGCTTCAAACTTTCGAGCAGCGTATTGCCATGAAGTGTAGCATATCCAGCAGATTGTGAAGTGCGTCTCGGTTTATGAATGGACCTTTGGCTAACTCGCAACGCATGGTGCTAATGAATGAACCACACGGGCATCCAACGATCGCTTTGCGCAGGCTTTTGACAGGGATGGCTGGGGGGGATCACATCTGCCCGCGGTGTGCTGACTCACTGCGCACGCCGATCAGAAGCCAATGCAAACAAGCTGCGGGTGCACACACACACAATACAGCATGCTGACCGCTCCGATATCACTTCGCACTGGCTTGGGGCACGGGTGGTGGGGTGGGGGGGGGCATCATCTTGCCCGATGTGTACTGCCACGTGCCCTGGCGCACCTGGCGGACTCTGCGTGCGTCGCGCGGCTGATGCATGTGGCAAGCGTGATGCACGCGAAGCACGTGGCGCATCTGGCGCACCAGGTGCGGCGAGGCCGCCTCTGGGGCACCTGGCGCAAGCACAGCGGGCGGCGCACCTGGCCCGCGTGGCGCAGCTCGCGAGCGTCGCGCACCTGGCGTCTGTGTTCGCGACCTCTGCCTGCGCTGAGTCTGGCGTGCTGCCTATCAGGTGGGACGGCGGGTCGGAATGACCCTTCCCCCTCCGCCCTCTCCTGGGTCTGGCCTGTGGAGGGCTTGGGGCAAGGTGGCAGAGTGTCCTCCTTGGTCCAAGGTGGATCAAACATGGCCACCCACACAGCCCAACATGGTCTCCGAGATGTTACAAGTAGGCAACGATCAGGACTCCAGCATGCCTCGAAGAGGCTCCAAGCCTGCCCCGAGTGACCACAGAACATCTCAAGGATACACACGAGAGGCCACCATGATTCAATCCTCGTTCTGGCGAAATCAAATTGACCTTCTCGTCGTTTTGCTTCCCGTTTGCGTCTGAGGCTTCAAGATGGCTGAAAGCTCGCCCAAAGTGGCCCGACAGCGGACGACATAAGCGCCAAGGACGGCCCCAATATCGCCAAGGACCGCCCCAACAAGGTTCCAAGAAAACCCCGAAATACGAGCTTTGGGGTTCAGACGGGGGGGGGAGCGTACTCCAAATCCCTTATTACTCGTCCCCCGGGTCCGGTTGTTTAAGGCGCCTTTTTTGTAACTGGGGGGGTCCAGTTTATTAGAGCGCTTTCCTTGGATTGGAGCTCAGGGGGTCCCGTTTATTGAAGCGCCCCATCGAAGAAGGGGGTCCGGAACATTAGGTCGCATTTGGAAGGGGGTCCGGCTTTTCAGGGTGGGGTCGATTTATAAGGGATTTGGAATGATCTCAACCTCGCCCGTGTTTGTTCGATGGCTTCCGAATGGCCACAACATGGCCCGTAAGCGCGCCGCAGGACAGCCCAAGGGGGGGCCTCCGACGCTCCCTGGGCCCCCCCCAAACAATTGGCACAAGTTGGATGCAGGAGTTCTTCTGAGGGGCAACGATCGGGGGGGATAGGCATAGGGGGGGAAACATCGACCTGGAATCGGCGATACATCGCCGATAGATCGGCGATAGGCCCCCGATTGTGAATCTATCGAGCCCCTATCGGCGATGAATGGGCGATTGGGGGTCGATACATCCCCCCCTATGCCTATCCCCCCCTATCGTTGCCCCTGATCTTCAGAGGACTCTGAACTCTTTCACGGGCACGTCTGTTTCATCACTCCAAATCCCTTAATAAATCGACCCCCCCCCCAAAAAAAGGGGCCCCCCTCCAAATGCGGCCTAACACTCCGGGCCCCCTTCCTGGACGGGGCGCCTCAATAAACGGGACCCCCTGAGCTCCAATCCAAGGAAAGCGCCCTAATAAACCGGACCCCCCCCCAGTTACAAAAAAGGCGCCTTAAAAAACCGGACCTGGGGGACGATTACTAAGGGATTTGGAGCAGGTCGCGACTAGATGCTCATGTGCAGGTAATAGCGGTGTGACATCGGTTGACAATAGGCTGGGGGTGACGTTGATGCCTCTTTAACGGGTGGCGGAAACGGGGGCCCTGCACGCCCTGGCCCCAACCACTCCTAGGAACATGGTATGGCCTCGGCCGCACTGGCCGACTTACCCCCCGAAGTGCGAGTGTATGCAGTTCCTTTTGCGTTTCGCGGAAACTGGCCCCACCTTTTTGAGGGGGGGGGCTGGTGGGGGTTCGATGCCATGGGCCAGTGGGGATTGGGATCGGTTAGACGATGCGGACCTCCTCCACCTCTCCTGCTCTTGATAGGTCTGTTGCCCACCACCACCACCATAAGTTGGAGGGGGGAAGGAGGAGGATGCGGAGAAGGACGAAGAGGAGGAGGAGGAGGAGGAGGAGGAGGAGGAGGAGGAGGACGCCCTCCCCTCCTCCTCCTCCAACTTATGGTGGTGGTGGTGGTAGTGGTGGAAAACAAGCCGCTCAGCTCTATTGGCTCCCCCCCGAGCTCCAGGAGGGCATCAGCGGCATGTGCCAGGGCTCGCCGCCCTCGCCGGCGCCGCCCGCCATGTCCCGCGCCTCGAGCACCTCGAAGCCGGCCTCGCGAGGGGGCGGGTGCGGCCGAGGGTTAAGTCGGGCCTGTCCTCCTGCAGGGGGATCTTAGACGAAAAATTAAACATGAATCAGAACATGCAAGGGAAATGCCCCAACAATTGTCAAACAGTCGTCCCCAGACTACTTTTTGGCTATTTTTGAATTTCCCCCCTGCAGCGGGACAGGCCCGACCTAAGCGCAGGGGGAAGAGGTGGTGGTGGCCACTGCAGCAGGGAAGCACGGGCACCCGGGCGGAGCAGCACGCACCACGACGACGGCGACGACGACGGCGACGAAGGAGGCGAGGCAGGCGCGCGACGCCAGCGACGGCTACGCCAAAGAAGACGCCAGCAACGACGACGCCGGAGGAGGAGCAGGAGGACAAAGATTAAGTCGGGCGTGTCTCCCTACAGGGGAATTCTCGACGAAAAACAAAAATACTCAAACAAATCAAAAATAGATGGTCAAAGAATACTTAAAAAATAGTCCCCTGACTATTTGTGACTATTTTTGAATATTCCCCCTGTAGAGGGACAGGCCCGACTTAAGACAAAGATAATGACAAAGGTTCGGGATCGAAAGAGTCGAAAGAGGGGAGGAGGAGCAGCACGAGCAGTGTTGGAAAGGAGGAGGACCTGGAGCGGGAGCAGCAGGGGCAGAAGCCCAGGAGGATTAAGACATATGACGAGGAGGTGTAAGAGGAGAAAAGTTCCCTCCTCCCTCCTGCTGCCCCCTGCCTCCTCCATCATCATCTGTGGTCCTGAAAGCTGGAACTCGCAACGGTTCCATGAATGGATGGGGTCGTTTTCAACATGGATCAGTCGCAGCAGTGCGGCTCAGTCCATTTAAACGTCTGCAGCAGCTGGAGAGATGATGGAGTACAGGCCGTCTGCAAAGTGGAGATCTAGCCTCAGCGCCGCGCACATTCATCTGACAAGCTCGCCACAAGTACAGGAATGGAGGGGAAGCAATTTCAAAGTGAAACTCTCGCCTCAGCGCTGCGCAATCACACCTTCAGACGCGGCAGCTACAAATATGAAGTTGTATATATGTATGTATATAAATGTATCATCCTGCGCTCTCGCCTTAGCGCCTTGCCCACTCGTCGAAGACGTTAGCGGTTGCATCACTTGAGGGCAGAGTGTCGCTCCTTTTCAAGATGGGATCTCGCCCTGGCGCCGTGCATATTCGTCTTGACATTTCGCAGCAGGCACAAAGGAGGAGGACGGGTCATACTGTAACAAAAAGGCTCTCGCAGAGGCCTTCTATAACGTTTGGGGCCAGAAGCATCAACAGATGTGGCAGCTGCACCAAAGGAGGGTGGCTCCTGTTCAACATGGGGCTCTCGTTGGAGACTTACCCGCAGACCATTGCAAACCATGCCGGCCGATGCAGCATTGACATGGGTGCGGGCGGCCCTGTTTGTCAAAACGGTGATATCGCCAGACACCTCTCGTTGAACTGTCTGATCACGCTTTCCACTTGAGCAGGGACCGTCCGTCCCAGCATTCCTATAGGCCTACCACGGAATGTTCTTAGAACCCCAAACATGTCCTAACATCATAAACCATGTTCTTAGAACATAAGCCCGATGTGTGCTTCATTTTTTAAACAAAAAACATGGTCCTAGCCAGACATGTTCTAATAACATTTCGTGCAAACCACACAAGGTTCTTAGAACATCCTTTGGTGGGCCTGTAGGCGAGCCATGACGCTTCGCCACTGCTTGATCCACATGTTGACTACACACTGATAGGATGCACGGCAGACGACTTTCCTAGCATGGCATATGTCGCAGACCCACAGGGTGCTGGTCGTTCCAGGCGGGCTCGTCTTGTGGTGGAAAGCAGAAGGCCTGCAAGGATTTTTACGAGGCGGGGGCCGTGGGACGGGACTGTGTACTGCAGCATCGCCGATGAGTCTTGAGCTTACTCTGGTCAACCCCGCTCCTCCTGCTCCTCCTCCTGCTCCCCCTCCTCGCCACCTCGTACTCATCCGATCCTCGTCCCAGAGGAGGAGGAGAGGAAGGGGGAGGAGGAGAGGAAGGAGGAGGAGGAGGAGGAGGAGGAGAGGAGCAAGGCTGTGAGGCTGGCCTTCGCTAGCGCCGCCGTGCAGACCGAGGTATGCACCAGGTCCGGCAGGCCATCGCCGAGCATGATGTCGAGCTTGATCTTCTGGTGATGCGCATCCTTCTCGTCCCACGCGTCTGGAAGGGAGGGGGAGGAATGGAGGGGGCAGGAGAAGGGAAGGAGGGGGAGGAGAGGGAGGAGGAGATGAAGGAGGAGGAGGAGGAAAGGAGGAGGCGGAGGAGGATGCCGAGGACGATGTTTAGGAGGGAGAGGAGAGCAGAAGAACGACGGGGAGGTGGTATTCGTTCATCTCGTCGCGGTCGCCAGTGACGCACCACTCGTAGCACGCGAAGATGCCGCCAGGCTTCAGCACGCGCATGATCTCGCCGTACACCCCCAGGCGATCCGGCGCGTGGCAGGTGGACTCGATGGCGTACACACCATCGAAGTGGTTGTCAGGAAATGGCAATTTCATGAAATCGCCCTGGATTAACTGAACCTTGTCGTCGAGGCCCTCGCGCTTACACAAGGAGTTGCCGCGGTCAACCTGGAACTGATTGATGGTAATTGCCTTGATGTTGGCTTCCGTAAATTTCGCTATGTTACGCGCTGGGCCCCCAACGCCGCAACCACAGTCAAGCAGAAGGGAACCCTTGTTGACGCCAAGGCGACCAGCCAGGTAGTATTCGTGACGAAGAATGGACTGCTGGAAGGACTCGCCCTTGCGGCGGTCGGCGAAGTGGAAGCTGGTGCCCCAGCCCCACTCGTAAAACTCGGTGGCGAGGTCGTAGTAGTCGTTCACGAGCGAGGCGTAGTCCTCGTTGCGCTCCCCGGTCGATTTATCATCACCGAACTGCTTGGTGTAGCCGTCGATCCGGCCAGACGTCTGCTTCTTTGACTCAGACATCGACAACAAGAACGTGACCGTCTGCTTCACCCCTGCCAGAAGCATCGGGCCTAGGGGGAAAAGAAGGCGCAGGATGAGCAGGAGAAAAACGAGCAGGATGAGCAGGATGGAGAATCGAGGAGGAACATCGACATCCGACAACGTGGGCCTACCAAGATCAGGAGCAACAGGAGGACTGCCGCGACTGGCGTGCTCAGCGCTCCCAGAGGCAGCATGGCCACAACGGCTGCAGCCACAGCGCCGAGAATGAGAACATCCTTGGCCTCCATGCTCTCAAGAATGACAGTGGGGGGGGCATCGGATAAAGAATCTTTCTGAACAGGATCCCTGAATCGCTGGGGGGAGGAAAATCCAAATCAGAAGTCGCGACTACGGCCTCAGTCGACAGGTCCCAGCAGAGGCCCCTCGCCTCACAACACCGAGGACAGGATCGCTGGACAAAGGATCCTTGCACACGGGATCTTATGTTGCATCTGTGGGGGGGCCGTGTTTGTCCCGTGGCGCCCCCTGTCTGCGACGAGTCCACGCCAGATCCAGACCGAGTGCGCATCGAGCCCGCGTCGGGCACACGCGTTGGGGACAGACGAGATCCGCCCAAGATGCAACATTATAAGGGAATAAGGGATCCAAGGCCATCTGGCCGACGGATGGCCCGCAGTCCATCAACAGGGACAAAAGGACACTGTGCGATAACTTCACTACGCCCTCCGCTGGCGAACTGTCGTACGGATGGCCAGCGGGGCCTGGACGGCGGCACGGTTCGCAGGACATGCGGGCCCACGCCGTCGCGCAACCCTTGTCACAACGGGGCCGATCTGCATTCGTGGGATCCTCGGTCGACGAAAGCAGAGAGGGACACTGTTCAGGAGAAGGTCCTCGCCAGCAGCAAACAGAAACTTTGAAGTCACTGGGCGCTCGGTGTTTGGGGCATCCCTTCTAGAGATCCTCTTCGGGGTCCGCTGGCTTCTGTTGGGCAGTCTTGAGCTCTCTGGGCTCCCTTGGGGGCGTCTTGCGACCTCAGGGGGCCCTCGTGGACGTCTTCAGGCCCGCCTGGGGGCTTATGTGGTCTACTGAGCCTTGGCCAGACGGAGCGGGGCACCCAGAGGGGTACTAGTTCTTCTCGCAGAAAGTTCACCAAGATGTGCGAGGGCGGCTCCCGAGCCCCTTCCTGTTCTTCCGCGCGCCAGGCCCAATAACGCACGGGAAGAGATACCGCATGGCGGCAACCAAAACGGCGCTGCCTGGGTACCGGGCGCCCCACGCGTCCTGGGAGGGGGAGATTGGGGAAGAAGGGGGCGAGGAGGAAGGAGTCAACGAGGATGAGGGGGGAGGGGCAGGGAGGAAGCAAACCAGGGGCCGAACCTGCGATTCCTTATCCGTTGCCTCCACCGTGCTTGGTCGAACTTCGCCTGAGCTCCACCCACAACGACCGGAGACTTGGATCAAAATGGCTCGAGCCGAACGTCGTCGGAGCGACGAGGAGAAGGAGTGACTGCAGCTGGGAGGGACGGAACATGATGGTAATGAGTAGGATGTGGAAGACGTGGGGAATGTACCAAGAGTACAGGAGGGAGGGTAAGCAGGACAAGGGGAGGAGGAGAAGGACGCGATGCTTCTCATCGCAAGACTCATGCGCGCATGTGGGGCCAGCCATGTTGGATCAATGCTCACCTCAGTCCCTCTGTCCCGTATCCGTCTGCCTGAGAAGGGGAGCATGCAGATGGGGAAGCGGACGAGGAAGAGGATCATCATGAGAAAGGGGAAGACCTGGAGGCAGAGGATCCACCATCTGCATCATTTGTCAGGCATCCTCGTCTTCCGTTTCCTGTGTTCCCAGCCTCGCGCCAGTCTGGACGCCCTGGTGGGCAGCGGGGCACCTTGGCATGCATTCCCAGCCGTTCCACAGTGTTCGTGCCCTGGCGGCCCTTCGGCACATGCTGCACTGCTGCATCACAACAGCTCGGCGCTGCAAGGTTTAAGTCGGGCGCGTCCCCCTACAGGGGGATTTTCGACGCAAAATAAAACATACCCCAGGAATGCTCCCAAATGCTCAAAAAATACTATAAAAAAATGTCCCCAGACTATTTTTCGACTATTTTTGAATCTTCCCCCTGTAGAGGGACAGGCCCGGCTTAATGCAAGGCCCAGTCCCACGCCTGCCTGGACGCCCTGGTGGTCCGCGGGGCCCGCGCCCGTCGCCTCTGATCGCGGCCCCGTCGCCCCACGACGCCGTCGTGACGTCGTCGCTCTCGCGGGGCGGCCTGCCGTGTCGTCAGGACACGCGGTCAATCCCCCCCCTGGGCAGTCTGTGGTGCTGAGCATGCGCACGCGGGCAGCGCAGCCGAGGCGCCGAGCGTGACGTTCGGGGGAGGGCCAGCTGAGACAACGGCGGCCCTCTCGCCTGGCCCAAGCCCGCCGCTCCAAATCAGCCCCCAGACCCCTCCCAGGTTTCATCCCGACCCTGCTCTGGAGGAGGATCCAGCCGTGGCGACGAGAGGCCCCTGGGAGCCCAAACAGCGGGGGACAAAACGCGCCGGAGAGTGCCACCGTGGTCTCGACTGGCCCTCCTCCGAGCACGGCGTCCCGCTCGTCAGAGCCACCGTGCGAAGTAGCATCCGGCCTGCCCCCCTGGCCGGGTCGTCGCCCGACCCGCGCAGGGCCACGGTGAAGAACAGATCCGTGTTCGCGGCCTCGCGGGCCAGGCCCTTGGGCTGCGAGCCCGCGGGCGCGGGGCGTTTTTCGCGGATGCCCCGCGCGGAACGCCTCCGTGCGACCGCGTATCCGCGGGATCGCGCCCCAGAGTCCAGACCGCGAGGGCGCGGATACGGATGCGCTCGCCGCTTGTAGGAGGAGGAGGAGGAGGAGGAGGAGGAGGAGGAGGAGGAGGAGGAGGAGGAGGAGGAGGAGGAGGAGGGAGGAGGAGGAGGAGGAGGGCGGAGGAGGAGGAGGAGGAGAGGAGGAGGAGAGGAGGAGGAGGAGGAGGAGGAGGAGGAGGAGGAGGGAGGAGGAGGAGGAGGAGGAGGAGGGAGGAGGACGAGGAGGAGGAGGAGGAGAAGGAGGAGAAGGAGGAGGAGGAGGAGGAGGAGGAGGAGGGAGGAGGGAGGAGGAGGAGGAGGAGGAGGAGGAGGAGGGAGGAGGAGGAGGAGGAGGAGGAGGAGGAGGAGGAGGAGGAGGAGGAGGAGCTCGGCTCTCCGGCGGCCGATCGGGACGACGCGGGCACCCGCAGAGCGCCCGCGGCGAGGCGCAGCCGCTGGAGGCCACCTCTCGAGGGTGCAAAGCCGCCGAGGAGCAGCGAAAACGCCCAGAACGAACCTCGAACCTCGAACCTCGAACCCCAAGCCTCGGGTATGTTCGCCGCTCGTGATCAGCGGGAACGGCACTTTGGGGCAGCCCTCCGAACCTCGAACCTCGCAGCCCGAACCGCGGGGTATGTTCGCCGCTCGTGATCAGCGGGAACGGCACTTTGGGGCAGCCCTCCGTCTGCGGCTGCCGAGCGAGCCGGAGCCCGCGCAGAAGAAGCCTTTCGCCAGGGGGGGGCGCATGCTCGGCGCACGGGCCCTTGCGCAGCTTGAGCAGGGCGGGGCACGGGTGGCCCCGACGAGCCACGCTGTGTGAGCCCGTCCTGGAGGGAGGGAGGGATGGGGGTAGGAGGAAGCAAGGGAGTAAGGGAGGAGCGCCGGTGATCGCCATGGCGGGGCCTGCGAGGAGGGAGGAGGAGGAGGAGGAGGAGGAGGAGGAGGAGGAGGAGGAGGAGGAGGAGAGGAGAAAGAGGAGGAGAAGGAGGAGGACGAAAAGGAGGAGGAGGAGGAAAAGGGGGGAGGAGGAGGAGGAAAAGGAGGAGAAGGAGGAGGAGGAGGACGGAGAAGGGAGGAGGGAGGGGGAAGAGAGAGGAGGGAGGAAGGGGGAGGGGGGGGGGAAGGGAGGAGGGAGGAGGGAGGAGGGGGGGGGGGGGGGGGGGGAGGAGGGAGGTGGGAGGAGGGACGAGGGAGGAGGAGGAGGGAGGAGGGGGTGGGAGGAGGAGGGATGAGGAAGGAGGAAGGAGGATGGAGGGAGGAGGGATGAGGGAGGAGGGGGGAGGGGGGATGGAGGAGGGGGAGGGAGGGGAGGAGGAGGGAGGAGGGAGGAGAGAGAAGAGAGGAGGGAGGAGGGAGGGAGGAGGGAGGAGGGAGGAGAGAGAAGAGAGGAGGGAGGAGGGAGGGAGGAGGAGGAGGAGGAGGAGGAGGAAGAGGAGGAGGAGGAGGAGGAGGAGGAGGAGGAGGAGGGGGAGGAGAAGGAGGAGGATGAGGAGAGGGAAGAGGAGGAGGAAGAGGAGGAGGAGGAGGGAGGAGGAGGACCAGTGTAAACCCGAGGAGCATCAACGATGTTAGAATCAACCCTCCCTCCAGGCTCCCTCTTCTTAGGCCCCCTACAACGGTTCATTTTTACTGAAGGAACTGCGTCGTTGGAAGACAGCTGTTTGAAGACCCTCAATCATGCCAGAACATTCTTCTCGGGATTCCAACGCCACGGATCAACCTGACGGTTGCGGCTTGACGATCCTGAATCGTGCCTGAACGCCATTCCTAGGACTTGAGCACCGCGAGCCAACATAGTTGGTGCACCATCATAAGCCTGAATCGTTCCGAAACACATTTTTCCTGGTATGTTGATCACGGGAACCCGTGAAACTTTTGCGCTTTTGTTTAAACGAATGTGCGCGGCGCTAAGGCGATAACCACATGATGGAAAGGAACCGCCGAACCGCCCTCAAGATGTGAAGCTTTTGCATGTTTGAAGCGAGTGTGCGCGGCGCTGAGGCGGGAGTCACATATTGGAAAGCAACCACCCTCAATCCGTGAAACTCTTGCAATTGTTTAAAACGAGTGTGTGCGCGCAAAGGCGAGAGCCACAAGTTGACCACCACTCGCCCTCAATCCGTGAACAGTTTGCAATCGTTGAAACACATGTGCGCGACGCTGCGGCGAGAACAACATGTAAAAAAACACCCGCCCTCAATCCGTAAGACTCTTGTAGTATTTCAAGACGTATGTGCACGGTGCGAAAACGAGAACCACATGTTGAAACCACTCGCCCTCAACCCGTGAAACCCTTGCAATGTTTCAGAAGAAATGTGCGCGGCGCTAAGGCGAGAGCCACGCGTTGAAAACCACTCGCCCTCAATCCATTGAACTCTTGCAAGTGGTGAAGACGAATGCGTGCGGCGCTAAGGCGATAAACACATTCTGAAAACGGCCCGTCCTCCATCTGCGAAGCTGCTGCCAGTCTGTCAACTTCAGAGTCACGAGTCCTAAGTGGTGAAGGAATCTCAGGGGAAACGCCCGGCCTGCCCTAAAAACTGGCCTCGGAATGCGACAGGGAGAAATTAGGTATAAGGAGACGGAATGGAGAAGGAGGACCACGTGAAGGAGGATGGTGATGATGAGGAGGAGGCAGGAGGAGAAGGGGGAGGAGGAGGAGGAGGAGGAAGAGGAAGAGGAGGAGGAGGAAGAGGAGAAGGAGGCGGAGGAAGAGGACGGAGAAGGGAGGAGGGAAGAGGAAAGAGGGAGGAGGGAGGAGGGGAGAGGGAGGAGGGAGGAGGAGGGACGAAGGAGGAGGGAGGAGAGAAGAGAGCGGTGGAGGACGGAGGAGGGAGGAGGGGAGAGGGAGGAGGAGGAGGGACGAAGGAGGAGGGAGGAGGGAGAAGGGAGGAGGGAGGAGGGTGAGGAGGAAGGATGGAGGAGGGAGGAGAGGGGAGGGACGAGGGGGAGTGGGAGGGACGAAGCAGGAGGGAGGACGGAGGAGGGAGGAGGGAGGAGGGAGAAGGGAGGAGAGGGGAGGGAGGAGGGAGGATGGAGGAGGGAGGAGGGAGGAGGAGGAGGAGGAGGAAGAGGAAGAGGAGGAGGAGGAGGAGGTGGAGGAGGAGGAGGTGGAGAAGGAGGAGGAGAAGGAGGAGGAAGGGTGGAGGAGGAGGAGGAGGAGGAGGAGGAGGAGGAGGAGGAGGAGGAGGAGAGGGAGGAGGAGGATGGGAGAAAGAGGAGAGAGATTCGGATGAGGATGAGGAGGAGGAGCGCACTCGCCCAGGAGAAACGGCCAAGTAATTCGCCGGCCCGACACAATTACGAGACCGTGACCAGCAGAGCCCCTGAGGCTCAAGTCCCAATCGTAACTATAGCATGCGCATTACAGACAATGCAGAGCAGACGAATTAAGCTGCACTGACACGTCGAAGAAAATACGAACGATGAAGCTGCACAGTTAACCAGACCTGAAGAGTAAAGTATACAAGTGCACATCCATGATAAGCCTGCTCTAACATTACGCAAAGCAAACGAGGAGGTGGAGCAGGAGGGAGGGCCGGCACTACTCAGAGTCGCCATCCAGAATCTCAGAATACAGAAGGGCACCGTCGTCGAGGAGGAGCTCGAAGTAGTCGTGGCCTGCGTCGGCAGGGGGGGTGAGGTCAGCTATGACAGTCAATGCCCGGAAATCGTGCAGAAGCGACTTCGTGAACGTCCAAATAATCTACAAAGGTCCTGGTCGACTCTCCCATGCTAACATCCTCGCGCAAGAACTCTTCAGGAATTGAGTGGGCAGCAAGGCTGGCAAGCTCGGCCGCGCAACCGGACTAATCCACGCCAGCCTGACGACTTGCACCAGAAGCTGCTTGGAGCCTGTTGAAGCTCTCGGTCACGCCACCCACCATGTGATCGAGCGCCTTGGGACAGAGGATGCGAAGGCGGGCATAAGGCGGAAACGAATATACTGTCTGAGCGTTGGCTTCAACCCCGTCTCTAAATGTAGAACTCCTCGCACGCTAGCGGAAGAAGCTTGTCCTCCATACCGCTATGGAGGTCGGTGGCCACGTTCTTGTCCACGCCGTCCTCGCTGGCGCTGGTGTCCAAACTCTCGTCCTCACTCTCTTCAGTAATGCTCGTGTCGCATGTGCACAACGCGGGCGGATCCACTTCCGAGTTGCAGGCAGAAGTACGGCCGTGTCGATGGCAGCACCTTCAGACTCGAAGTCGCCATACTTGAGTTTTGAGGTCACCTCGTTGACGTAGTCATACACGCTGCTGGAGGTGATGTGCATTCCGAGGTTGTAGCAGAGATCGATCTTGATGATTTTGCTGCGCATGCCGCTGGGCAGGTAGCCATGCCAACGAGCGCCGCGGAGATACCTTCGAAGTGCTGGCCCGTTGCACTGGCAAGCTCCACAAGGAGCTCATCACGAAACCGATAGACCAGCTCATGGGGAAGGACCATACGGCGACAGATGGGAGAAGATGGGAGGAGGAGGAGGAGGAGGAGGAAGAGGAGGAGGAATAGACGGAGGAGAAGCAAGAGAGGGAGGCGGAGGAGGAGGAGGAGGAGGAGGAGGAGGAGGAGGAGGAGGAGGAGGAGAGGAGGAGGAGGAGGAGAGGGAGGAGGGAGGGAGGGAGGAGGAGGAGGGAGGGAGAGGAGGAGGAGGAGGAGGAGGAGGAGGAGGAGGAGGAGGAGGAGGAGGAGGAGGAGGAGGAGGAGGAGAGGGAGGAGGAGGAGGAGGAGGAGGAGGAGAGGAGGAGGAGGAGGAGGGAGGAGGAGGAGGAGGAGGAGGAGGAGGAGGAGGAGGAGGAGGAGGAGGAGGAGGAGAGGAGGAGGAGGAGGAGGGAGGAGGAGAGGAGGAGGAGGAGGAGGAGGAGGAGGAGGAGGAGGAGGAGGGGGAGGAGGAGGAGGAGGGGGAGGAGGAGAAGGAGGAGGAGGACAGGGAGAGGAGGAGGAGGAGGAGGAGGAGGAGGAGGAGGGGAGGAGGAGGAGGAGGAGGAGGGAGGAGGAGGAGGAGGAGGAGAAGGAGGAGGAGGAGGAGGAGGAGGAGGCAGAAGAGGAAGGCGAGGGAGGAAAGAGGAAGAGGAGAGGGAGGAGGAGGGGTGGAGTGACGGGGGTGGGCGGCGGGGGGGCAGGGATGGCGAGGAGGAGCCCCCTCTACCCCTCCCCCGCCTCCCTCCGGCGGGGGACTGGGCTGGAGCTCCGCATCGTACAGCCCCCTGGCGCGCCGCGGCACAGCGAGGCTGGCCAGCAGCAGAGTCACCCCCAGCGGCGCGGCCACCATCGGCCCCCCGCGGCGGCCGCGGCCGAGGGGGAGGTCCTGGCGCGGACGCGGAGGAGCAAGGAGGAGGAGGAGGAAAGGGGTGGGAGGTAGGGAGGGGGGAGGTGGGAGGAGGGTGGTGGGAGGAAGGAGGCGGGAGTGAGGAGGAGGAGGAGGAGGAGGAGGAGGAGGAGGAGGAAGGAGGCGGGAAGGAGGATGCTGAGGAAGACTGGAAGAGGGAGGCAGAGGTGGAAAGAAGGGGAGAGGAAGCAAGGAAGAAGGGAAAGATGGAGACAAAGGATGAGGGCTGATTGATAGGACCGGGAGGATGGAGTAGAACGAGGAGGAGGAGGAAAGACGAGGCGGAAGGAGGAGGTGGGAGGAGGAAGTCGTGGAGGAGGATGAAAGAGAGGGCATATGATATATGATGATGGGGAGGCGACGACGTGGGGGAAGGGCAGAGTAGGGGTTGGAGTGACCCCGAGGATCCAAACAGGAGTCAGAGTGCGCCAGGGGCGGAAGCAGCAGGAGCAGCAGCAGAACCGAGATGCGATCGGCGGCACGCCGCTGCGAGATGTCGACCCCCTCTCTCCGGAAGGACCCCAGCGCCCGACACCTCGCAGTGCGCGGCAGGCCCCTCAGGGTGGGGTGGGGGGGGGGGGGCGCCCCCTGAGGCCCCGGGGGCCCGACGCCACCATTCGGCAAGTCCAAGGGGTGTGGTTTGCAAAGGGTGTGAGTTGCAGCCGGCACCCTGGGGAACCTCCTGGGGGGGCACCCTGGGGCGCGGGGACCTCGACGGAGCTCTCCCGCGCCCCGAGGAGGCCCGACGAGGACAGTGTCGTGCCCCCCAGGCCCCAACGGTGCCGATCGCAAACCACACCCCGGCGTCACCATACCCTGTGTAGTCGCCGACCCATGGAGGCAGCGGGCACCGCTGGACTGGCGAGGCACGCGGACGCTCTCGCGGGGCCCCGCCTGCGCGCGGCCCTGGAGGCCTGGCCTGCCGACGCGCCTCGACCGGGGCCCTCGGACCAAAGTGGAGAAAGCGAGGACGCGGATGATGAGCCGCGACCGTTTCCTGCTCGTCTTTTTCCTCGTCCCCGTCCTTGTCCTCGTCGTCGTCGTCGTCCTCCTGCTCCTCATGATCCTCATACCTCATCCCCCTCGCAGTGCTCCTGACATTCATCCTCCTCCGTCCGCGTCGTCGTCATCGTCATCCTCCTCCTCCTCGTACTCCTCCTCCTCCTCCTCCTCCTCTTCCTCCTCCTCCTCCTCTTCCTCCTCCTCCTCCTCCTCCTCCTCCTCCTCTTCGTACTCGTACTCCTTGTGGTCATCTTCCTCGTCCTGCTGCTAGCCCTCCTCCTCCTCTTCCTCCTCCTCCTCCTCCTCCTTCTCACTCTCCTCCTCCTCTGCCTCTGCCTCTTCAGGCGTGTACCCATCCTTGTCGTCCCCACCGTGGCTGGAGCGGCAGGGTGCGGGAGCGGACGGCCACTGGATTCTTTCGCGCCGCCTCCGCCCCCCTGAGCATTCCGCCCGCCGAGCGGGCAGAGAGAGAGAGAGAGACGAGGCTTCATCAACTTGGCGAGCGGACCGCGAGGCAGCGCCTCGTCGCGCGCTCGCGCGAGCCCGACGGCGATCTCCCGGCAGGAGGGCCCGAGGGCCCCCTCGGCCGCGGAAGCTGGCGGGAGACGCGCGCCAAATTCATCGGCGAGACGTGCACTCCTGGCCGACCGCCGAGATTCCGGCTTCGCCCACGCAGCTGGAGCCCGAATGGGGCGCCTGCCTGCACGGGGAAGCGCGCTCGAATTGAGGGGGAGATCGAAAGCCGCGCTGCGCGCTTGGGCGTGCTCACGGCGTGGACCGGATCCCGCGTGCAGGCGTGGGGGGCGTCTGTCCGGCCAGGCAGGGGAGGAGCGGGAGTGAAGCAGGGGGGGCGAGGGAGAGGCGTGGGGAGGAGAGGGAGGGGAGGTCGGGGAGAGCGTGGGGGGGGGGAGGGGGGCGCGAACTGGGGAAGGGAGAGAAGGGGAAAGAGAGCAGCAGCTGGATCATGGCGAGGAGGGGGAGGGAGGTGATGGAGCAGAAGGAAGTGACGAGGAAGAAACGGTGGAGAAAAGGATGAGAGGGGGGAGGTGGAAGAAGAGGCCGAGAAGACCGCGGAGGAGAGAGAAAGGGAGGGGGAGAGGGAACAACACAAGGAGAAAGATGTCCGTATCCTTCTTCTGGTGGCCCAGAGGCCGGTCAATCTAGTCAACCTGTTATGCGACTCAACTCCCAAATCCTTGAAATATGCAAGCCGTTGCTGAATATTATGCACAGCGCATCGCCCCAAGGGCTGTCCGCAGCCGCCGAAGGCCAATACTGCAATCCTGATATGCGCAACAGCGCGGTGCCATCGGCCCCCAGCTCTGCAACGAGCTCTTCGAGTGAACAGCGCGCACCACCGAACTGGATGCTGCTGCACTTCTGCCCCAAACTCTGCGACACATCGCGCAAGCAGCAGAACGTGAAGGACCAGGGCAAAGAATGGACAGAGGCGAGGCGGCGGAGTTGGAACAGGAGGTAAGGACGGACGTCGGAGACCGCCAGCGTGGCCGCTTCTGCTTCAAGGATCACATCACATTTACAACTGCCAATCAGGCACACCAAACGAGGCCGCCTACGGCAGGTTCGTGTCGTGCCGACCCCAGCGTTGGTTTTTGACACCGCGGGAATCGTTCAACCTTGAACGATCGGCCGTCTCCGAAACGCCACATCGTTGAACATCGATCGATTCTGGGACGCCGTCGGCGTTCAACGTTGAACTCCGGCGGCGGGGTCGCCGCTGGTCGACACGACACGAACCTACCGAACACCACTTCCCCGTCTGTGGTCTCTAAACACTTCCTCCAGAGTGGCACCACGCGAGAATCCGTCGCCCCCCCCCCCCTACCAAGAGATCGATGACATCACGCGTCGCCCGGGCACAGCCAGGCTCCCCATCGGGAACCACTCATGCGGGAACGGGCGCCCCCGGAGGCCGACTGCGGTGAGACATGCAGATCTTGTTGGCGAGGTCGTCGGGCTCGCTGTGTGCAGCTCTGTCCCGATTGATGAGTTCGATTGCAAATCCGAGGGCGAGTCGAAGGATGAGGCGTATTTCGCAGACAACGTCGACTGTATGGATCATTTGCCGAACAACCCCCAACAGCACGCTCATGAAGCAAGAGGGCACCAAGAGGAGGCGGTCCGCATACGAGAAGTACGCAAACGCTCTCTGACGAGCTTGCTCAAAATATGGGTACCATGCCTGGTGTTAGCGAGACAGACTCTACTGTGCAGGAAGTGGCGGCCATGCAGGACCGCGTGCAAAGCAATTGCGAGACCCTCAGCTTCACAATGCGCGCGCCCTGCAGCAGGAAAAGCTCAATCATATGTTCGAGAGTGCTGTTCTGGACTGACCGCACTTAATGCAGACGAAATGGGAAAAGCGCCAACCAAGAACTCCAATATCTACCGAACGAGATGCTGAAAGAACGGGAGGTCGCTAATCATGCGTGTCGGCGGGGCCTGGGATCCCAAGAGCACTGCCGCGCGGCACGTAGGTGCGCTGTCCTGGCCATGGGACGGTCAGGCCGTAGCTGCAATCTTGGGGTCGTACCCGATTCGGCCCGCACGCAGCCCCTGCAGCCGATAGGCTGTGCGAGGGCCCGCTGCGAGCCCAGTCGGGAGCCCTGGCAGGACTTCTACGCGGCTTCTGGGCGAATTGCGGCCTCCATTGGTCAGAGCCTCACACTCCCTGCGCGGGCTAGGATGGGCACGCCGTGTGGGCGCGCCGCCGCCGCACAGATGCGCATCCAGGGGGGAATACCCGAGGGTGGTCAAGCCCCGATCTCTTTCCTCACTGCGGCACTGTGTGAGGACATACGGTGCCCAGGCACCAGGCGGTCACAGCGCTGCAAGCGAACAACTGCGCGCTGGTCGGCGCAGGACATTCGGTGTCGCCGCGCCCAAGACTGACAGCGTCGCGGCATTAGCCAGACCAACATGGCTCAAGACTGACGCCTGACCCGCGGGCAACACAACTTCAATCGCGGCTGCCCAGCGTAGGCTACTACGCCAGAAGTGGCTTTGCACAACCACGGCCTGGAGCTGCCACCACGTGGAAGAGGCTACGGCGCTGAAACTGGCCTGCAAGCACACACGGTGCACATGTTTGCCTCGGCTGGCAACCATAATGTGCCACAACGCTCTGGCAAGTCCCTGCCCCCTGCCGATCTGGGTACAGGCGGGCGGGGGCGAAGCAGGGGACCCTCCGTACCCCCCAACCTCCTTAGATCTGGTCTCACCCCCTCGTGCCTCTGAGGTTTACCGCAACCGCCCAAGGATACCGAATTTCGTGGCCAGTTGGCCGGGCCCTGCCGCTATCGAGAGTCATATGTGCGAGCGCCAAAGGTGGCACATTTGGGCTAGGGGGCGTCTCAAGGCCCAATCCTCAAACTCAATTAGCCTGGCGAAGGACCCAACCATATGCAGTTGTGAATGCCGCAAATATGAATATCGTTTTCGGTGGCACTACCTCTGGGTATGGGATACGCATGCGATCACCCCCACTGGGGCCTTCGGTGGAGCTCCCTATGTGGCTACGAAGCGCTGCCCTGGGTGGAGGAACCGCATGTGGACAACCCCACTGGGGCCTTCGGTGGAGCTCCCTATGGGGCCACGAAACGCTGCCCTGGGTGGGGGAACCGCATGTGGACACCCCCACTGGGGCCTTCGGTGGAGCTCCCTATGGGGCTACGAAGCGCTGCCCTGGGTGGGGGAACCGCATGTGGACACCCCCACTGGGGCCTTCGGTGGAGCTCCCTATGGGGCTACGAAACGTGTGAGAGGTGTGCCGAGAGCAGAGGCAAGGAGGGGGAGGAGGGAGGAGGGCGGGAAGGAGAAGGAGAGGAACGCGGGGCGCCGTCTCTTCAAAACGAGGACCCAACACCACAGGATGGTTGGGACAAAAAAACTGCGAACTTACTTCAGCTACTACTTCGCATCGGACTTCTGCAGTGCAGCCCAGATGCCCACTAGGTCGTCGATGTATATGTGTGTAAACATACATACATACATACATACATACATACATACATACATACATACATACATACATACATACATACATACATACATACATACATACAGGCATACAGGCATGCATGCATGCATGCATGCATGCATGCATACATACACACATATATATATATATATATATATATAGAATGTCTATAGTGCGTCGTTTCTGCGCGAGGGACGGAATCGACCTCCAGCCGAGACTAAACTGGGCGCGGCAGTGACGCTAGGTTCCCTGGCCCCCTCCCCTCCCCCGGCACTCCCCCAAAATCAACCCCGCCCCCCCAGCCGACCTGCTACGGGGCTTACAAGCCATGCCGTCGCCGCGCGGAGCGCGATGGACCCACTGGCGCAACGAGCGGGCAGGCCACCCCCGCCCCGCGCAATGCCCGCGCTCCGAAACACGCTCGCGGTGCATGCATCCATGGACCGAACAGTCACGAGCGCCCACCCGATCCCAGCAGGCGCAAGCTGGAAGCCAACATCAAGGCCGCGGGCACGTTCGCAACCGCGCGCGCCCCCGCGGGGGCGCGCGCCCGCAGGCCATTCTCGGCCTCGGGGCGGCGCGAATCGCCCCCGAGCCCTGGAGACGCAGGCGCGTGCGCAGGCCTGGTCGGCCGCCCACTACGAGGCCCACAAATGTGGCCACGAATTATTAGGAAGACGTCCCAAGCGAGACCATTATTTCCAATGGCGTGGCCAGGGCCCCCAGACTGGAGGACGATCGGGCGCTGCGAGCACTCCAGCAAACCTAGTGGTCAAACCAGAAATAGTGGCCACGCTGGCGAAAATTAGCGGTCACACAACAGACAATAGCCACAGTAAGAAAAGCAAGCGTGGTCGCACTGACAGAAACTAGTAGCCACGCAGAAGTAATGGCCACTTCGACATGCAATGAGGGTGACAACCACGACAATGATGATCACAGCAATCGCGCCACCTTCGCCCGCGCACCCTCTCCTCGGGAAGTTGGCAACAGGGCGCGCGCTCCCCGCATTGACGTTGACACCACGTGCCCCTATGTGGACGTCCACGCTCGAGCGATTCGGGTGCCTGTGTTAATTTCAGCTGCACGCAAGGGCGACCCCAGACTAAGAGTGACCTTCGGCGCGCGGCTTCAGAGGCGCCCCGGGGGCCAAACGCAACTGCGCAAGCCAGTGCTGCCGCGCCGTAATAACGATCGGACGATCGGCGGGACGACACTCGAAGATTCACAACATAACATGGAAATGCTGTACCAGAACTGAGAATAGCGAACCATAAACGGGCACGACATACCATATCATGCTTGATCTACGACGGTGACGACTACGGCAACGAAACCACGATATAGTACAACGAAGACTACATACATGTATGAAACGATCATGCAAACACACACCACACCATACTAAGCAGCGCGTAGCATGACGAAAAACCCTACATAATGATTAATAATGATATTACACAGCGCGTCATACAACAATCACACAAACACCATAACACAACATACTGTGGGCATGCAATACTACACCATAACAAACATACCATAACATACCCAAAATGTTCAACTACTAGTGCCACTACGGCAACATGTATCCTATCGCATGGAATAACACGGCATACGTGAGCCGGTATAGCAGAATATAGCATGCATACATACATATAGAATGCTCGAGCAATGCATGACACAACATAGCATTTCATAACAACACATTCCGTGCCATGGCAGGGCAACTTATACAGTAAAACTACATCGCGGAGACGATCACATCCAACAAAACCAAACATAGTGTGACAGAGCGGGGTGTACC